TGTACTTGTCTGTTTGTTTGTGCACGCACCCATGTATTTGAATGTGTGTTCGTGTATGCGTATGTGTTTGTGTATGTGCCTGTGTATGTTTACGTGTATTTCTTTGGTTTACTATTCCATAGTCACAAAAGTTACGAAGCAGAGCAGAAGTTTCGTAGCCGCAGAATTTAGGACCCTGCTGCACGCGAACTAACTTCACTGGATCTTAAGCTACATCCTTATTTTTTTTTTTTGGGTTTCGTAATCTATCAAAGTACTTCCGATGCATATACATATTTATATGACAAATACTTTTTGCATAAATAGCTGTGAAGTCTTGGAATTATCCTCAGCGAACATAATAAATATGTTGCAGAATTGTATATTGATGTTTGCTGAGACAGTGAAAATGGGACCGGCCAATTTTACAGCTGGTGGATTCTTCGTTATCACGCGTTCGCTCCTCCTCACGGTAAATTTTTATTATTTTCTGATTAGTTGTTTTAACTATTTTCCAGATTTTTTAAATTTTTAAATGAAGTCCTTTCTGCATCTCACTTTCTATAAGGCACTTCGAATTAGCCCTTCTCGTAGTTTGCTTAGAATCAAGTTCATCGCTTCCTTCCTTCCTCGTCCGCTTTTTGGATTCGATGAGAAAGAAAAAGATCTCCACCCCATTCGCCTTTTGAATTGAAATAGGAGAATTATGATCTCAGCCATTTCTTATACTGGAAGAGAATCCCACTTCAGTTTTTTGCATTGAAGGAGGGAAAAACAGAGATAGTTTCTTTTTTAAAGAGGAAGAGTAATGAATTCTTCTTTTACAGATGGCTTCCTTTACGGCCACTTATTTGATCATATTGCTGCAAAGTACCACAAATGTAGTATGTCAGTTACCAGCCGAATTCGTGTCACAATATGAAACACCGAGAACAACAGTGGGACCACTTGATACTTGAAATGGCTATCGACTGACTAGTATTGTAGTGTTCATGTTCAGTACAACCATACCGTATTCTCTGCTTTTTTGCACAGCGCTGAAGCGCTACTATTGTGCAAAAACGCGTATAATTGTAGGTGAGCGAACTTTGCCACGCATTTTTAACTTGGCAACCACAAAAGGCTGAAATTTTGTGATTATGTTCCCCGCATTTATGCCTTCCTTATAAATTGAAATCATCGCTTCTGTACGTCTGGATCTCATGTACGGGTGCCAAAAAAAATACAGATTTTGTGACGAGAAAACGGTTTCAAGTACCGGACAAGCTAGAAAGCTGTAATTTCACAACGGTGCTCCTCGCCCATCTGCAGCTAAAAATTTCAAATTCAG